TAGCTTCAGCCCCAGGGCTGGAATTGTCGCTTTCGACAGGCTTATTGAGAAGAACGTTTAGTTCCTCCTCCGTTGGCTCCTCAATGATCACTGGAGGTGGCCTGGGCTTTCTCCCAGCAACCTTTATTCTAATTGTTCGACCCTCAGGAGCAGGAGCAGGAACAGGAACAGGAGCGTCCTTCGTCAGCTTTCGCCTTTTTAGAGGAGCAAGAGGAGAATCGCCTTCTTCATCGCTCCCAGATTCGACCACCAGTGCTGGCCGTTTCTTGGGCGAAGGTGCCTAAAAAACCAATGGGAATTCGATTTAGCAATTGCATCGAAAGTCAAAAGTCGAAAGCCAGAAGAAAATAATGAAAGTCTGGTTACCGATACAGAAGGCTTCTTCGAAGGGCCTTCCCCCTGTTGGTTGGTTGTGGTCTTCACCGGCGCTGTAGTCTTCGCCGACGGTCGAGGTTTTGTTGAGGGGCCTCCTCCCTGTTGGCTCTCTGTAGCCTTCTTGGCTACAAACTTTCGAACAACTGAAATCAAATAAACAGTTAACAGGCTAGCAGTCGAAAGAGAAAGACAAAGTAATGTGAGAGGATGAACTTACATTTCTTTATTTTGTCCAACACAAGGACAAAAGATTTCTGAAGCTCATCCACGAAGTCCTTCTCATCGAAAAACTCCTCAGCGTAATAACTTTTCCACCACTCCTCGAAGGATGGTGAGCAAAGAAAGTTGAGCTGGTAGTCAAACAACGAGAGAACTGTTCGACCAGCATATCTTCCGATATGTTTAGTGGCAGCTTCTTCGGTGTAATCATTGCAGAAGTACAACATGGACTTCTCTCTTGGAAAAATTGGAGAAGGTAGGGTTTGAATAATACCAAACTGGCGAGATACCAGGTTTGGTTGGTATGCAATCAGACTCAAGTGAGTCTTAGAGCTCTTGAATCGAAGAGGCATGATCCTTGGTGTGAGGAACGCCTCCCACATTATTGTATGTTCATCAACTTGAGGACCACTCGACGTCCTTGGATGTGGCCTTGTGAACCATGCCGGGCCTACCTTCCGTCGAGCAAATGGAGCCATAGTCGAAGCAAACTCTTTCCTTCGAGCAAACATCAGAACGAAGTTGGTGAAAGTTTGCTGAAACTCCAGTCCATCTTCCATAGGCGTCAACAGAGCCAGTCTGGTTCCTTCGACGCGTCTGTTCGCTATCTCTAGAGCCTGCTCATTTATTTGAACCTTCTTAGGCAAGAAAGATTCGAAGGTGGCATTGAGCCAAAGTTGGAGCAGCCAAAAAGGCCCAGCAAGTAGCAAACTGGCCCTGTTCTCGATAATTTTTAGAAGAGTTGCCCCATTACTGATCGAATCATAGAGGCTAGCCAAAATCAATTCTGCCAAACAGATATTTTGGCCATGATGGAGTTGAGTGGCGAGAGTGACCATCTTCTTGGTCACCTGTAAGGACTTCGAGCAAAATACAAAGCGAGTCAGCCATAAGGCTAGAAATGCTATGTGTTCGACATCCGACACAACATCTGTCGACCTGTCGTGGTAGTGGTTGATGAAGGTGGTATAGGTTGGTTTGGTGTCAGAGAATCCAATTTGGTCCTCCGACATCTCCTCCGGATCGAAGTAGTCCCCGGTGGGTCGAAGGCCAGTGATAGCGGCCACATCGAAGAGTGTAGGAGTCAACATCCCACAAGGAAGATGGAAAGTAAAGTGGGAGTAGTCCCAGAAAAGTAGAGAAGCTATCAACATCTCCGGAGAATAGTTCAAACCTGTCTTCGACAGCATCACCAGGTCGAAAATCCCCATATCTTTCCAGATCGAAGCTTGGCGTTTCTCCATCTTTTCCAGCCAAGCAACGTAATCAGGAGTAAGGCTAGGGCCAGACCTGAAAGCCCTAACACCTTTGTTGAAGAAACGAAGGTCGATTTTCTCTTTAGAAGGCTCTTCAGTATCTTTTGCATCCTTCTTGGAGCATGCAACCGGTTTGAGTTTCTCAACTACCGGAAAATAACTCTTGATCTTCATGGCCTCAGCAATACTTGGATACAAGGGGCCAGACATAGCAAAGATCTGGTTGGAATATCCAACCGGGATCATAAGGTGGTGTGAGTAAGCGTCACGCACGGCGATGTCCAAGGGTTCAGGGACCCTTCGTTGGCCCGTAGAAGTCACTACTGGAGCGGTGACAAAACCTTAGGTTTGACGTTTCCAGATGGTACGGTAGCGCTAGGAGCATTGGAACCAGATGCCATTGTTAATGGTGAAGTTGAAGACGAAGTGAAGGAAGAAAGGTTTTTGCAAAGATGACAAGTTTGTGTGAAAATAGAGAAGTTTGAAGGCTAGATGGTGTAAAAAGTCCCACAATGGGGTACTTACTGCTATTTATAGTAGTGGGGGAAAATCCCCAAAACCGAGGACATTAAATGCCATTTAATGTTGCAGGAGATAGTGGGACGCGTGGCATCCCCCTGTTGTTTTAGCCGTTCTGCAGAAATAGAGAGACGCAGCGTGCGTCCTCGTTTTTGGGAATTGTCATAATGACAAATTCTGAAATGACGTTTGGTACTGCACGCCGTACTGAAGTGACGTCTTAGGTACGGATAAATGATGATTTTCTTGGGATTGCCAGTGGTTGGTAGAAGACAACAAAAGGTGCACAATTTAATTTGTGACTAAGCGTGAAAAGACAGGTGTCGAATGGCGTTTCAAAGAATGCCTTTTTCTTTCAGAGTCGAAATAAGGCATTCTTGGGGGGCAATTTGTTGGCTCTTAAATTCGACACCTTTGTTTTATTAATGTCAGCCATTAAAGCTGAAGGATGTTTTCGACTAGCTAGGTCCGTCGAAATGCCCATCGAAAGATGGCAAGGTACTTAACAGATTTTCTTCCAAGGGAGAAGTTGGTTGCCTTCGACGTCGAAGGAGATTCTCGTCGAAGATGTTTCTCGACGAAGGTGTTCGATGGTTCAGAGTGGAGCAGTTTGAAATTCAAGCGTTTGGAGGGAAAACGGTTTCCAGCGGTTACCAAGTGTGACGTGCGAAGATCTGAAGCGTCGAACGTTGAGAACGTGCCAAGTGGAATGATCTCGAAGCAGTGTAACTGCCCGACGGTTACTTGGGATGTTTTAGTATAAATAGTAGTAGTCATGTAGTTTCTCGCGTGTGTTCACAATTCTATACAAAGTCACTCATATAGATTCGAGTACCCAGCGTGTGAGAAAGAATTGTTGAGAAATGTATGTGTGAAACACCAACTTTATTAATCAAAGTCATTTACTTTTCCAGAAATTTACTTGCTTTCTTCTTTACTTTCCTGTCGAACCCTTTCATTTAAAGCCTTATTTATTTTACCAAGTCCTTTCTTCATGCAATTTACTTAAAGCCTCTTTATTTTATTGTCACTTAACCCAAAGCCAATTTAATCAAAACTTCAAAATCAACCTATGTCCTAGGATCAATCGATCGATCCTGCGAGTAACCAAATAAGTAACCATTTGGAGGATCAGCGGTTGTTTACCAAATACCAAGGTAAACAATGCGTAAACCACATAGTGAAATAAATTATGGTGATAAGCCTTAATACAATAATTTCTCAATCAATCATTTTATAACGATCACAATTGTTAACCAATTTTCAATGAAATTATTGATAAAATTGAAACAAGCAAATTATCGAACACTTGGCGTTTAATCGATTTTTCAGACTTTCCCTTTGACTTTGTTGATATAAAATACCATTTAAAATCTAATTGGTTGTAACATAATCAACAAAGCTATGGTTAACAATCAAAGAATATGTCTATACGAATCGATTACACAATCAATGAATTTAACGATTTGCTATAGAAAGTATCACTATTACAAAAAGCGCAAACAACAACGCCATGTTTACGACGTATCCATATGCACCGTAGTAATAGGTTAAAAATTTTGCGCCCAGTGAGTTGTTGGATTTATTAATTACTGTTCATTTTAAACACCGTAGTAAAAAATGATGTGTAGCATGCTTCAATTCCCATCAACCACATTTTTTTCATTTTTTTTAGACTACATTAAGCATGTGTCACCTATCTCCATTATTTAAAAAATAAATTGTAAATGATTTAAAAGGACTTAAGTTTCCATCACAATTTCTTGTTCAACCGCAATTAAAGGGTTTACTGATAAATTAAAACAAAACTCTTTTTGTATTTCTTTCCTAAGACGCCCTAGGTGAACAAGCGATTCAGAGACGACGACGGTGACTCAAATCCTCGTATCCATTCATTTGGAGCTCAAATCTTCATTCATTTTATTGTTCAGTTTCGCAGTACGGTACTTTTCAACATCTTCATTCCTTTTTTCTTTGTTTATGTTGTATATGCTCAAATCTTCACCCTTTTCATTCATTTGATTCTTCATCTTTGTAGTACGGTACTCTTCAACATCTCCATTTATTTTTTCTTGGTTTATGTTGTATATGCTCAAATCTTCACTCTCTTTGTTCATTTGATTCTTCGGTTTTCAAGTATGGTATTTTTCAACATCTCCGTTCCTATTTTCTTTGTTTATGTTATATATATGCTCAAGTCATTATGAGATTTAGTACATTTTTTATAGTCTTTAGGTTTAGATTATTCATATACTCAAGTTAGTTTTTGGATTAAATTTTGGTATGTAATTCACATAATTATATGTTATAATAAGTAGTTACCAAAGACAGTTCGCACGAACCTTTGTATTCCATTTTCTGCAACTGTTCCACCCTCCATTATCCCTCTATCTAAATCTACAAAACTCATGTCTGTGATCAAAGAAGAACATGAAATCAAAAAGTGGAATAGGGCTACAGTGGTTGTGGTCGTGGTTTGGATGTGATCAAAAGCGATCCTCACGGTTGGTTGTGGAAAGGGAGTGGTTATAGGTGAATGGGTAGTTGGTGGCAAAAGGGTAGCCTGTGGTGGAGGGTTTCTGGGTGAAGACGACACGACGTCACTGGCGAGGTATAATACCAGGTGCCGCAATGGGGTTCCGGTCGTATGTGGGTCGTGTAACCAAAGAGTGTAACCTCGCTGTCGAGAAGCTTCTGCTCAAGGTTTTTTGTTTTTCAATTTCTTTTTCTATCACTTCCGTTTCTTGATTCGGTTACGTAACTGACGTTTCATTGTTGCATTGGAGTTTGTTTTTTTTCAACCGTTTTTTGGTTTGTTACGGGGAATGGAGTTTAGTGAAGATGACGAAACAATTGACTTAGTTTTCAATTTTTTATGATTGTTTATGTGTAATATTGATGTTTTCTTACGCTTTTCAAAGAGTGCGAAAAGTGATACTGATATTATTTGTGGTTTATGAATTAGTTTGATATTTTTTATGTGAATTCGTTGTGAATGTGATTGTAAGTGTGTGACATTTTAATTATAGATATGTTTCGTGAGGTTAGAAGCAAATGTGAAAAAAGAAAATAGGTAATTTATTGTTAAGTTACATTATCATTGACATGAGATTGAATTTGAATGTATTATGTGATGATGAATGATGAATAATGTATATGCATTTTAAATTTAGATGAAGGAGGTGGTGGATTCAAGGACGAAGGGTAATAGTACGGGGTTGATTAAGGGAGGCAAAATTGGCGTTGGCATTGGCAATGGCAATGATCCTGGTGTTGTGCAAAATGGATTTCATCATGTGGCTTATAAGGGTAATTTTTCTTTTGAATGTGGAACATTTAGAGTTTCAATTATAATAATGATAATGATATTGGTTTTAACTATTGCACGACCTTACGTTATTGAATGTATGTAATGAATGTCAGGAAACGGTAAAGCGGTTGACAAGCAAGATGTTGGGTCAATTTGTGCTTCGGTTATGCCTTCCACAACTCATGTTGGATAAGTTAGGAGAAATCGTATATCTGATGATGGTAACTTATAGTGTATACTGGACTATTCTATTTCCATATGGAATCACTAAATTGGTTTGTATTTGGTTTTGATGAATTGCAGTTGTTTGATTTTGCGGATAAATATTGAGGCAAACATGACAGCAACATCACAGTTGCACAGAAGTACTACATATCTATCAGTGGCTATAATGTAAGATTTCTTATTCTAATTGATTATGTTTGATTATGTTTATACATTTCGGTTATGTATATAGTTGATGAGAGGCAATGGGGCATTTGATGAATGTTATTGGCTTCAGAAAGATGCAGAAGTGTATATCATAACATATTTGAATTACACCTATAATTATTGAGTTTAGGTGAGCCTGCAATCTTTGTTGTGTGTTTGTGACTAAAAGTATGTCATTGTAACAATTTATTATGAAGACTAACTGATCATTGTATATCACCAAACTCACTATCAATTGTTTGTTTATAAATTTGCAGATTTTGGCCTTGTAGGAGAAGAATTGGTGACCAAAATGATGACTGCAATCACCGTAACTTACTGATGGATGGCACCAGAGGTATGCCGTCTTTTTTGGGTGATGTTTTTATAAGAAGCTTTGTAAATGCTTCGTGGTTGCAAATATTGAGGCTTTCAGGAGATATTTAGAAGCAACATGACTCACTGGACAAGCAACAACTCCAAAAGTGTATAAAAACGGTAGTACAAAGCAAGTTTTAACCATGCAAAGACTATATGGATTTCCTCTTACTAACCTAGACTCCATTAGTTCATTAATTACTATCCCAGAAGCAAGTGTTATAACTGCTCTTAATGTGTGGTATGATTCAAAATTTCTCTTTGCAGTTTATGTCTATGTGCCTTCCTCTTTTAACATGATAATGTATCCTGGTATATATTGTTGTAGGTTTAGAAGTTTGATTGCATGTGAATCTTTTCATGCAGATGTACATGCTGGAAATCTATAGCTTCTATGTGATGGCCGTATTGGATTTCTTGACTTTGGTATGCTTTTTCTTCCTTGTGCGCGGTTTACAGTTTGTAATACTTGTATTGTATTGTTTTGTCGTACTTTAGCCATTTGTTAACTTCCCAAGGTTTCATAGTTTGGCTATACATTTTTTTAGAATTTATCATATTTTCAAACTCTAATCTTTGGTATTTCCTTTGTTCTTTTACAAACTACACCTTTTCTCTTCTAAACCACCACACATTTTACAATACTCTAATGTTTGTATTGTACATATATATACACCTTTTTTGTTGACATTTCTTGTCGTTATTATTATGATTATATACAACAAATCAGATACAATAGTTAATGATTATTGCATTAACCGATTAAGTGTGGACTAGTAGCACTTACAACTCTTTAAACTATGTGTTGTGATCATATCTCTAGAGGTTATACACTCAAGCAAGCCTTATCACTGCCACTACTAGCAATGATGCAGCACTAAAGTAAACCTCTTTTAGGCTCTTATCCACCTTTTGTATCATATCTTCATCTCTCAATCCCTTCTTTCCAGTATTCTTGCTTATGTTAACAATTGTATTCCTCAGTTTATTTACTCCACAAGAAAGCCAAACCAGCCCAAAACCCAACCATGTGTTGAAGACCTTAGATGCACAAAAAGGGACCCTTCTTCAAGCTAGCTTGCAGATCACAGATAACATAATAACAATGCTAGTACCAGTAATGCCACCAGAAAATTGGGTGAGGAGTTCAGAAATCTCTTGGCCAAATTTCTTCAGTGAAAGAATTGTTGTTTCCCAAATTTTCGAGAAGAAAAAAATGGACATTGTAAGTTATTTCTCTATGGTAACTTACCTACTGAATGCAGACTAGACATGAAATTGGCTATTTGATCAACCATAAAAGAACTTTTTTGGTTCTAACTTCTAAGCCTAATAGTTCCAAGCTCTTAACATTTTCACAGGTAGACTCAGAATTTGTGGAAGTATTAGCATTCATGTATCTATCATGTTTACATATAAGTATATGTCATTTCATTTTTATAGCAGCAATTGAGTCAGAATTTTTGCAGTGCTACAGAGCTATTTACTAATAGAGTTTAATTCCCTTCTTTAGGCTTTGTTTATCAAAGAGCACAGTGCAATATGTGACATGCTAAAAGTAAGTCAAATTCTTTTCATCTGTTGCATGACTTGGCTCCATTTACGGTCATTTTTTGCATCGAAAAATAATACGACTGATATTGTTTTTCTTTTTCTTACAAAAACGTTATCCTGATTTTGATGATGAGCAACTTTATAGGTATGCAAGATTGGTGACTTCATCAGTCATTGTGAAAATCTATATAATTTATTGGACTGTAGAGCTCTTAAAAACCGATACTCATCGGGCATCAATTAGGATCAACTAGTAAGTCTAAAATACATTGCAGAAAGATCTACTTCAAAGGATACTAAAGAATTTGTCTATACAACAATAATGAAACTTTTCATTTTACTTTGACAGGTATGGATTTTACTTTGGCAGTACATTTCGCAAGCATATTTTTGTAGTTTATAACTTTTTATTACGATTAATTTATTCTAAAACAATGAATCTTCTTCTATCTATCAGTTTATAGAGATAGAGAAAGGGGAGTCCCGAGGTATAATGAATTCAGAAGAAACTTACTGATGATTGCGATTGGCAAATGGGAAGATTTAATAGATGATGTCGAGGTCATTGAAGCTCTCAAAGAGATATATGATAATGATGTTGAGAAGCTGGAATTGATCTTCGATCTTCATGTAGAGAAGAAGATAAAAGGATTTGTTATAAGTGAAACCACTTTCTTTATATTTGTGAATGTGATCATGGCTTCAAGGTAAGTTTTCAGCTCTATGTAGTATGCAACTAAAATTTGATTTGGAATCTTATGGTTTTATGTGGTGATTATGGTGTTTAGGAAAATTCCTGAAAGAAGATCACTTTTTCTGCCACGGATATTGATGTGACGGAATGGAAGGGAGATATATTGGTTTTTGGTGTTACGGAGAAATACCTAATAAGATACTCAAAATCAAGATTTGAGAATATGATCTTGAGCAAGATTGACTCTAAGTTGAATGGTCTATTAGCTGAGGTCTCTTTTGAAGAGGATTTCTCTGGTAAAATTGGTCAATCGATTGTTCTTAGAATTAAAGGACTTGGATCAAAGAGGGCTGTTTTGATTGGTCTTGGACAGTCACCTTCAACTACTGTGTTGTTCAAGGGTTTCAATGAGGCTGTTGTTGTCGCTGCTAAGTCTGCTCAGGCTAGCAATGTTGCCATTGTTCTTGCTTCTTCTGAAGGACTTTCTTCAGAATCGAAGCTTAGTACTACATTTGCAATTTCATATGGTAATGATTTTTGTGATTTATGATTTTTTAGTGTGTGTGTGTGTGTGTATGCGTGTGTGTGTGTGTGTGTGTGTGTGTATGTGTTTATGAATATTGGCTTGTGACTTTTATAGTTACATTGCTTGAATTATGCTAGGAGTTGTATTGGGATTATTTGAAGATCATAGATATAGGTTGGAATCAAAGAAATCAACACTTAGATCCATTGGAATTATTGGTCTTGGAACTGGACCTGAATTGGAGAAAAAGCTCAAGTATGCTGAAGATGTTTCTTCTGGAATAATTTTTGGAAGGGAGCTTGTAAATTTTCCTGCTAATGTTCTCACTCCAGGTTCATATGCCACTTAAAATTGTATTTTGCAATTCGCATGTATAAATAGATGTACATGTGTATATGTGCTTCTCTAAAACTTGATATGTACTCGGTGATGTTTTTTTTCCATGTGTGTTGGCAGAAGAAGCATCTAAGGTTACTTCCACCTATAATGATGTTTTCACCGCCAAAATATTAGATGTTGAACAATGTAAGGAGTTAAAAATGGTGTCCTATATGGGTGTTGTTGTAGCCTCAACAAATCCTCCTCATTTTATCCATATTTGTTACAAACCTCCAAGTGGTCCTGTCAATGTCAAGCTGGCTTTGGTCGGAAAAGGTTTGACTTTTGATAGGTAATTCACAAAACGATGTGTTTTTAAATCTACAACAACTCAATAGGATAATGATCTATTTGAAATAAGGTTTTCCCACTTGTATTATCCATGGTTTTGATTATGGTACTTGAAAATTAAGTTGTTATGAAGTTTTATTTTATTTTTCCGTTGATAAATTTTTACTATGAGGTCCTAAGTAGATTGTTTCAATGTTACATGCATTGTTAATTTGCCACAATGGCATACTAATAATTTGTGTACATACATATGTATATGAACTACCGTTGTGGCAAGAATAACACTTAAAAATATCCAGTTGTCAAACATGCCTTTGAATATGTTTATCTTTTCAATTTCTCTGTTGTTTATCTCATTGAACACCTGGTAAAAAGAGAGAAAGCAACAAAGCAGAAGAGAATGGAACTAGATCATTTTATCTATATACTTTTCAGAATGGGATCACTGGTATTTAAGAAAAAAGTGATAGATCAAAGAGGCAATAACAATGTTAAATGTCCATTATGGTTTTAAGAATGTTTGTTACAATAAAATTATATGGGAGGTTCAGTGGCCAAGGCCAATGCACCAAGACTTTACTTAGCTATTATTTGGTGTGTAGTATGGGATATCCTTTACCTTGGGTTTGCATAGATAACTGAGTGGGATTTCCTATCTCATTTGATATTTTTTCTTAATAGAGCAGTCGAGTATGAAATTTCATTTTACTTTTCTGGTGGCTACTTTACTTTGAAATGATTTGTTTGAAATACATAGTGGATATAGGGTGTTATGTTTTATGGTGTAATATAAAGTTGAATAGAGTGGAACATACATTATGTACTGTATGATCTATTTCTATAGAAATACATTGAATCTTAAGTGGTTGGACTTAAATAGTTAATGAATTTTAATTAATATTATCAAATTGATTCAAATACTTGATTATTGACTAGGACAATTCTTATATAATTTTTCTTAAATAAAAATCAATATAACTAATTGTCTTGCAGCTCAAACCAAATTATACCGATTATGTTTTTATATTTAAATTTATTTATATTGCATATGTGTATTTAAAAAAATTACAAATCTAAATTGTATGATAATATGAAATAATTTTAGTTTTTAGTTGTGTTGAGAATATGCAAGAGGATTATATTGGTTTCATGATTGATACAAAGAGAACTAATTGAAACTTGTGGCGATACATAAGTGATTGATATAAAGAACTAATTTATTTCAGCGTAATATTTGTGTCATGATTGATACAAAAAAACTAATCTCTATAAGAGACCAATTCCAAGGTTAGGAGAAGCGAGAGACCAATTCCAAGGTTAGGAGAAGCGAAAATAGGCATACTAAGCCTATTTCTAACATATTTTTCTCAAATAAAGATGGGACAACTATGAAAACAAAACATTGTCAACCAAAAATTGGCTTAAGTTGGCAAACATATCAACACAATGATTACCTTCACTGTAAATGTGAAAAACTATGAAATTCATGTCCCGAATCAAGGCTAAGCAGCTGGTCCAACGATTTCTTAACCTCCAAATAATAGAAACACTTAACTTGAAAGCCAAGGTGGTAAGCATGGAGTCACAATCTAACCAAAGCATAATTAAACCTTTCTGGTGAGTCATCTCAATGCAAGCATAGCCCTCAATGAGCTTAGTAGTTAAAGCATCATAAATGTGTGTGTTAGAACAAAAATAACCAAGAATCTAATCATTTTCATTCCTAAAAATGTCACCACAAGCAGACGGGTCAAGATTGCTAATTGAGGTCCTATCAATATTGCACATAATACTATTAGATGACGATAACTTATCTAGAGGGGCTGAATAGATCCCCACACAAAAACTTACTATTTAAATTTTTGTTTTGAAAGTAAAACAATTACTATGGCAAGCGGAAGATTAAGCCTAGACCAAACAAGTCGTCTAAATCGAACCGATAATTGGAAACTCGGATATGCGTAAACCACATAATGAAATAAAGTATGGTGATAAGCCTTAATACAATAATTTCTCAATCAATCATTTTATAATGATCCGAATTGTTAATCGATTTTCAATGAATATATTGATAAAACAGAAACAAGCAAATTATCAAACACTTGGCGTGTAATCGATTTTTCAGATTTTCCCTTTGACTTTGTTGATATGAAATACCATTTACAATCTAATTGGTTATAACGTAATCAACATAGCTATGGTTAACAATCAAAGGATATGTCTCTACGAATCGATTACACAGTCAATGAATTTAACAATTTGCTATAGAAAGTATCACTACTACAAAACGCGCAAACAACAACGCCATGTTTACGACGTATCCATATACACCATAGTAATAAATTAAAAATTTTCACCCTGTGAGTTGCTGGATTTATTAATGGCGGTTCATTTTAAACACCATAGTAAAAAATGATGTGTAGCACGCTTCGATCCCCAGCAACCACATTTTTTCATTTTTTATAGTACATTAAGCGTGTGTCACCTATCTCTATTAGTTAAAAAATAAATTGTAAATGATTTAACAATGATTAATACGTAAACCATTATTAAAGGACTTAAGTTTTCACCACAGTTTCTTGTTCAACCGCGATTAAAGAGTTTACTGATAAATTAAAACAAAACTCTTTTCATATTTCTTTCATAAGACGCCCTAGGTGAACAAGCGAGCCAGAGACAATAGCGGTGGCTCGAATCTTCGTATCCATTCATTTGGAGCTCAAATCTTTGTTCATTTGATTCTTCAGCTTCGCAGTACGATACTCTTCAACATCTTCATTTTTTTTATTTGTTTATGTTGTATATGCTCAAATCTTCACCATTTTGATTCATTTGATTCTTTAGCTTTGTTGTACGGTACTCTTCAACATCTTCGTTCATTTTTTCTTGGTTTATGTTGTATATGCTCAAATCTTCACCCTCTTTATTCATTTGATTCTTCAGCTTCGAAGTACGATACTTTTCAACATCTTCATTATTTTTTTCTTTGTTTATGTTGTATATATGCTCAAGTTATTATGAGATCGAGTACATTTTTCATATGCTTTAGGTTTAGATTTTCACATGCTCAAGTTAGTTTTTAGATTAGATTTTGGTGTGTAATTCACATAATTCTACGTGTATAAATTTCACAAGTTATTATGGATGATAGTTGGATGAAAGCCAATAGATTAGGTATAGTTTATGAGAAAGGAGTTCTTTAATTCCTTGAATACGTTGATAAACATCTTCTCGACAATGATGATATCTTTTATTGCCCTTGTGTTGTTTGCACGAATATTGAAAAGGGTACAAAGCAAGAAATATTCCAGCACCTTTGTTGTGATGGTATATGTCAAAATTATATAATATGGACCTGGCACGGTGAGATGGATAAAGAGCAAAGTCGGGCGTCACAAAGTCAAAGAGTGGATGTAGATGAATATATGAAAGATCAACTAGAGGAAATATTATAAGCTGAAGGGAAACAATGGTGATGACACTGACTATGCCAATGCTAATAGGAAGCATCCTCCTGTTAAAGTGTTATGGTACTTGCCAATAATTTCACGATTTAAGATACTTTTTGCTAATTCGAATGAAGCAAAGAATCTTAGATGTCATGCAAATGAAAGGACTCGTGATGGAAACATTCGCCATGTAGTTGATTCATTGAAATGAAAGAAAATTGATTCGTTGTTTCTGGATTTTGGAGTTGAGCCAAGAAACCTTAAGCTTGGGCTTGCTACCGATGGAATAAACCCCTTTGGTAATATGAGCACTAATCATTCTTCGTGGCATGTTCTTCTCACTATTTACAACCTATCTCATTGGTTGTGCATGAAGTGTAGGTATATAATGTTAAGTATGAAGATTTTTGGACCACAAAAACCTGGTAACGACATAGATGTTTATCTTGCTCCATTAATTGATGATTTACGACTCTTGTGGAATGAAGGCATTGAGGTTGATGATGCATATTCAGAGGAAAAGTTTAAGATGCGTGCAATGTTATTTTGACCAATCAACGACTTTTTTGCTTACGGTAACTTGGCTAAATATAGTGTCAAAGAATATAGAGTGTGTCCTATTTGTGAAGATAATAATTGTTATCACCAACTTGAGTTTGGAAAAAAGACCGTTCACCTTGGGCATCGAAAATTTATAAAACTCGGTCATCCTTATCGTAGATTACGAAAAGCTTTTAATGGAGAGCAAGAGTTTGATGAGGCTCTTGAACCTTTAACCGGGGATGAAGTTTATCAATGGCATGAACACATTAATGTTGTCTTCGGGAAGAGAGAAAAAGAAAAAGGGGCAGTTGCAAAAAATATATGGAAAAATAGGTCCATCTTCTTTGATCTTCCATATTGGTCAAGTCTTGATGTTATACATTGTCTTGATGTGATACACATGGAGAAAAATGTGTGTGATAGTTTGATTGACACACTTCTAATATTCCAGGCAAGAATAAATATAGTAAGGCTTCCCATATTGATATGGAGGCGATGGGTATACGAAAGCAGTTGGCTCCAATAGAGAAAAGAAAAAGAACTTATCTGCCTCCAACATGTCACACTCTATCTAAAAAGGAAAAGAAAATTTTTTGTGAGTGCTTCTAGGGTATTAAAGTTCAGCACGATTACTCATCAAACATCAAGAAACTTGTATCAATAAAAGATCTCAAGTTAATAGGTTTAAAATCCCATGATTGTCATGTATTGATGCAACAACTTCTACCAATGCTATCTGTGGGATCCTACCAAAGAATGTGAGAGTAACTATAACGAGATTGTGCTTATTCTTCAATTCCATATGTAATAAAGTTCTTAATTTCAAAAAATCATATGAATTAGAAGAGGAGGCTGTCATAATCTTGTGTCAATTTGAGATGTACTTTCCTCAATCATTTTTTGACATTACGGTTCACTTACTTGATCATCTAGTCAGAGAAATCAGATTTTGTGGTCCAGTTTATTTAAGGTGGATGTATCCAATAGAGCGATGCATGAAGATCTTTAAAGGA